CTTGCTCTTTGTGCTACTGTTAAGGCGTGCTTTCCTGTGTGATTTTCCCTATGAAGATTCTCCTCTTCTGCGGCAGCGTTCAGAGGCCGTCTTCCTTTTTATCTTCTTTATGAAGATGCTTCCTTTTCCTGGTATCTTCAGGAAGTTCCTTCGCCGTATCATTTTGAAGATATTCTTTTGCCTCGATTATTGTGAAAATGTCTTTTCCTGTAGCATCATTATGAACGGATTCTTCAGCTGCCTCCTTGTGAAAGTGCCCTTGTTACTACATCCCTGTTGAGATGTTGTATTGTACGTGGTTGTTGTTTATTAGGATTCTTGTTCCCGAATATCATGATTGACGTATTTTTTTATTTCTCTATTTAGAATCGTTATGAGCATATTTCCTTCTGGGAACTATCTATGAGGATGCTCACATATGTGAAATGTAAATGTCATAACCATACTGATGTTGTAGCATTACGAAACAGGAATCGTATACCCATGTGTGAAAGGGCACCTTTATTCCTTGTTTATTATTGCTTTAGAAGTGATGATGTTCAATGTCTACTATTAAGTCAATAACAGTGTCACACGGATAACACTGTTAATTGAAATGCAGAGTTACGTAAAGGGTAAGGATCGTCTGGAGTGTTATTGTAGGGAGGCTACTGACGTGTCCGTAATAGTCATTTGCGCAAAATACTGACATGCTTATGGTTTCGTTACATGAAGAGGACAACTCCGCTTGTGGGAGTCTTGTTTGCAGAATAGCCATGTGCACTTCTAAGGGTGGGGCAGCGCCGGGATGTACGTATAATACTGTTAGTGGAAGGGTATTGATGTCCATATAGTAGTTTATGCGAAGGATTCAGAGTTTAGGCTCCCATTATATGAGAAACATTATTCTATGAAGTACATGGATATTCCACGAAAAATATTGCGTTAAGATTATTGATTTGTCAAGATTTTCCATGGTCAGGAGTGCAGATGTTCCCATAATACCGTTATATCACAGTACTAATGTTTGACCTATATAGATGAGTCCAAGTGCTATTATACTAAAAGTATCATTACGTGCGACGTGCCGTGGAGGGATGAATACGATTATCCTGGGGGGATTATTATTCGAAAAGTACGAGTGTGCAAGGAGTACTGTTATATTAAGAGTACTTTTTTGAGAATAATACTTTTATTTGAGGAGAATTACTGTTATGTATGTAGTGGTGTACCATGAGGAGTAGGAATATCCCTGGAGTAACATTATCTGCAGTATTTCGATATAAGATTAACGGTTCCATTATATGAAGCAAAGAATTGTGCAAATGGGGTAAATTGCCTGGAGTACTATTTTTTGAAGAATATTGCTACACCCACAGTACTATGAGGTTAAGAGTACTTTTGTGTGTGCAATATTGACATCCTAGGAGTGGTATTATTAGTCGGGCACTATTCTGTGAAGTGCATCGATATTCCAGGAAAACTATTTCCTGAAAAATATTGATGTGTATTTATTACCAATGGTGAACATTGTGGAAGTTCCCGTAGTATTGTTACATGAATGTACTAATGGAGAAACTAAAATGATATCTGGAGAGTATTGTTGTTTGAACACCGCACGTCCATAAGAGTTATGGATCATTTGGAGCTATATTCTGTAAGCCATCTCACGTGTGGGTTGTATTCTTATTTGCAAGGGAGATTTGGTCAATGATAATGCATGTCTCCCAAACACGATTATCTGAACGGTTTTGATATACGCAAAGTGCTTTTATATAGGGGGCACTATTTTATTAAGCGTAAGAATATATCCCCAGTAGTATGTAGTTAGCTGAAGGTATGTGCCCCGAATATTACTATAGGGTGGATGAACCATTGGACGTTCCGTTATTTGAATAAAACCATTGTTCATACTGCATTGATGTGTTCTCATTTCCGGTACCTTATTTTTGAAAGGGCTAAGATCCTGGCTATAATATAAGGACATCACAATTTTACCAAATCCTGTGATGTATCTGCCGTAGCATTTTTTGAGGAAAAGCATTATCCTAAAAGTAGTATCATATGGATAGTACTGTTCTCCCTGGAATATCATTGGTGTTGATAACGTTAATGTTACGAGGATATCTTTGACAGAAGGATAGGAATATCTCTAACATACAAACCACTTATCATTATAGGAAGAAGAGAAGAGAAAAATGAAGTGGAAGGAATGCCTAAAATGAAGTTTATACGTTCAAGGTACTGCAACATTGAACAAAGTTCTCCATTGCAGAGGAAGAATAAATATATAGGGTACAACCATCTAAGTGACTTAACAATATCAGCGAAAATGGACCTGGATCTGAATGGGAAAAGACAAGGGAGAAGTAGCGCTATATAACGAGAGGGAACAAAAATCACCTAAGAACTAAGGGTACCTAAAGCAATGTTAACAAACACCAAAACAACCCACAGGAAAGAAAGGTGAACACGACAGAGAACAATTACGGTAACATATAAAGTGGGATATTCACCGGGCCCAATACCGCATCGAATAAGAGACGAATTCATTGCGAACATTCGTGTGTCAAAATACAAACAATTATTCATACTTATCGAGAAAGAAATATAAGTACGGAATTTCTTACCTATATTGATTGGTTTTCTGAATTTTTTCCTATCTGTATTGAGAGTTCTGGCTTGAATTAAACACTCTACAATTTTATTTGTTGCCCTAGGATGTAAGATCCTACGATACCCTCTGTGATGTTATACATGAAAATATATAATTGTTTAAAAGAGATTTATTTCTCCTTTGAAGTTTTAGAAGCTTCCTTAGACCCTATTTTGTTTTTGTAAAGATATAACGGATTTTCTGATGTAGATTCTGGAAGAGTTACGACATTCAATATCTCCACGCTTAGTGTAAAGGTGCTCCTTCCTGTTGTATCTAAAATCGTAATGATAAGATATCTATGTTGGCTGCATGGTTCACTACTGCTCAGAGGTCTGACCTGAAAGTTCTGTTGTTACCTGTATATTTTGTGTTGCC